TTTTATCTTGTAAATGAGAGGGAAAGGATTAGTGCCACCATGGGCTGCAGGGGTGGTGGATCAGATCCTCCCGGTAGCTGTGTTTAAGAGCCACACCAGCTCCAAAGTTGTATTATGAAATAGGCAGCTGGAGCAGAAGAAAGCCAGTTCCTTTAAATTTTTTATAAGTGCTTCTTGGTTTTATATATGCCCAAAGCATGTCTGACTGGCAGCCCTGAGACTGTGTTGCTGCCACACCACACTGGTAACTTGCATTGCACCTTCTCTGTGCAGTATAAGACCGAAGCTTATTTACACTGCTGATGCCACAGCATGCACTGTACATAAGCACCATGTTTGCATGGAAGAAGAGATGCCTGGTCCCCCGTCTGAGGAGTAATTTATCTGTAACTGCAAAAAAAATAGAAGCTGCCACACAGAATGCTGCAGCCTCTTCCTGCAAGCACACAGCTGATGTGTACAGAAAGAAACGAGCTGTTTTTCAGGAGGAGAAAAATGCTTCACATTGCACTTGAATTGCAGGGTTTCAGGAGAAGACAAGTCCCCTAGTTATGATGAGGATGTATATGTCAGTAATTCAGTTCTTGTTTTGTTCATTCCATTTTCTGTTTTCTTCCCCCCCCCCCATCTTATTCCGCCTTTCTACCCTTCTGTGCTGTCTTCCTTCTTGGCAAAAAATTGTCTCCCCTGTGATTGTGTACTGTATATCTTCTAGGATGTAATTTGGAGCTGTTTCTAGCTCTGGCTTCCAGTGCAAATGAGCACTGTAGGAAAGCTTCTGCTCATGGTGAATTTCACTCATTTGGCTTTAGACTGGAGGGAATTAACGCCTCAGCTTCACTGTCTTGGTGTAATCCCACTGGTGGGATGGGGGGCTTCCATGGCAACAAGCCAGGATTAGTGGTGTGGTCCCCGCAGGGGAAGCTGAGAAGGGAGCTGTGTGTTGCGGGAGCATGGCAGGAGCATCGGTGTGGTCATTCCCTCCGTGCCGGGCACATGCTTTAGTCTCCAGGTCTGGGAGGCAGAGTCCTGGTGTACTTGCAGAACTGAGAGTGCATGTCTTGGTCTGATGTGTGGGGTGTCACCCATCCAGATGGCACTGGTGGCAGTTCTCTGGTGAGCAGGCACTCGGATCTTGTGTGTCATTGCCTTCTGACTTTGTGAGGCAAGGGCTTACACGTGTGCAAAGCTGCAAATGGGCATCGAGTGGGTGCACTGGGACTAAATCCCTGGAGCTTGTGTGGTCTCAGCACGTTTTGACAAGGAATCTGAATCTTCTCCCAGTGTTGTGTGCTGGTTTTGTGTCTTGCTTTCATTGCTTCAAAAAGACACCAAAGAAGGACTTGTTCTGGGGGTACCTCTGTCTCTGAAGGCATGTCCTAAACGCCACTGTTGGCAAAGCCTTTGGAGTGAGCTTGCTGCCTCTCTGTGCCCTTTCAGGTACTGTTGATGTAGCCCTCATAACAGTGCCAGAGTCCAAGTACAGATGCACTGGGGCTAGAAAGAGATTTGTACTTGCAGCTGGGGGACTCTTACAAACTCATCCCAACCACCACTAATCAGCTGTGATTAAACACGCAAGAGGGGCTGGGTGGGTTCCTGCCCAGGGAGCCAAACCTTTGTCCCAGGGCTGACCCTCCTTATCTCTTGGTGAGAAGCATGGCACAAGTGAAGGATGCTGCAAGGCGTCATTGGATTGGGGAGGGCAGGGGACAGCAGTTCCAAGAATCACATAGCTGCAGTGTTTTAGTGGCCTTGTCAGCATGCCAAGTGTGCAGGGCGCACCAGGATGCCTCAGGGCTTTATAAAACAACTCAATTTGCCGGGTTTCACTGGAATCTCAAGTGTTCTGCTGCAGTCTGAGAGGTAGAGAAGTTGATGGAAACACTTTTACACTGCTCTGGCAGCGCGCAGAGCCACTGGCAGTGCCTGACTTCCCGACTGCCAGGCTTTCCTCCTGCTCTGTGCGCCGCTTCCCAACAATTGACTTGGCAATTGAGATTTAAGATTTGTGCGTTTCTCTTTCACTGCATATGCAAGCAACAGAGGCAGGAAGATTGCTTAGGAAATGATGAATAGTGCTTGAGATGCTTCGTCTTCCCCAAAGCCAGACAGAAGTGACGTTGTCAAGTTAGCAGCAACAATTGTCACTGGGAGTTGGGAGTGAAATTGCCAGGTGATGGTGGAAGAAGATGCTGTGATACAGGATGTTCTCAGGGATGCAAATGAATTCTCTAGATGACTGAAGCCAGTGAAGTTTATTCGCACTTACTTTATTTATCTCCCTACTCTGCCTCTTAGTCACTGCAGCATTTCAAAGTTTTTAGGGGTTCTCAGTCAAAACAGAAGGAAAGGATTTGAATTCTCTGAAGAGAAACCATTTCACAGCCATGTGTTATTCCAGTTTTGGAGGCAAAAAAGGGCAGTTCAGGGCCGGCCCTGTGCATCCAGGATGGGGACGCTCTCCTGTGGGTAGAGAGCTGTGGGCAGGGTGGGACCAGCCCTGGCTGCTCATGTAGAATTAGCTCCCACTGAAGATGCTTGGAGCTACTTCTGTACATCAGGGGCTGCTCTGAGAAAGGGGTGCAACCACAGCAGCATCCTGGCCACCCCAGGAGGGGCAGGCTCTCCTGGCACCCAGCAATCATGTGGCTGGAGCCAGCTGTGAATGGTTGGGTCTTTCTCCTGTGAGCTGGGCTCTTCCTGAAGCAGGTTGGTCCTGTAGGGCTTGTGTTGGGGGGGATTTGAAAGAGAAAGGTGTGCTAGAGAAGGGACTCACAGAAAAGCCAAGCGCTGCGCTGTGCTCTCCATCAAGCGGCTCTGTGTTTGGAAGGAAGCTGTTGGCAGGCATGAGGACATGTAAATAGGTGTCTGGATCCTGTTTCATGGGCTGGTGATCTCTCTGTAATGCAGGAGATGTGGGTTTAAAAACACACATAAACATTTTTACAAGATAATTATGTCCTGTTTATGCCGCTCTGCTGGAAGTAGAGGAAATTGTGGCCACTGCCTGTCCTGGGGCACACCGACACTCTTAAGGGATTGCAAACATACTCTTAAGGTGCTTGGTTTTGAAGCAATGCCCTAGACCCTTCTCTACCCCATGTTTCACCCTTGTCTCTTTGAGTTGCATTTGCTGAGGTGCTGATGGCTGAAACCTGAACTGATGAGGTTTGGGGAAGGAAATTAGCATTGCAGAAGAGCTGAGGTTGGAGAGGACCTCGGGAGGGCTCTGATAGAACCCCTGCTCAAAGCTAGACTATAACTTTAAAGTTAGCTCAGCTAGCTCAGGACCAGCCCCGCTGAGGTTTGAGCATGTCCGAGGCTGGAGGTGTCCCAGCTTCTCTGGGTGCCTGGTTTAGGGCTTGATCACTCTCAGGATGAATGATTTTTCCCTTCATCTTGTACGTGTTTTCCCTTTACTGTTCCCTCTTGTCCTTTTCCTGCGTGCATCCGAGAGGAGGCTGACTACACCTCACCTGTCAGGTAGCCGAGGGCAGCAGTTAAACCCTTCCCTCCCTTTCTCTCCTTCAGGTTGCACATTCCTACCTCCCGCAGCCTTGCCTCATCTCTTGGGTTGAGATATTTTTGGCAGGAATAAATGGGACTTTGCTTCAGCCATGTTACAGCCAACAAGGTGCCTGGAGCCTCTCGGTGACAAATAGCAGCACTCTGCTGGGGCGAGTTTAATGCAATGTTTCTTGGAAGTATAACACTTGGGGAGTGAGGAATTCACCCAAATGTCTCTGAAAATCCAGTTTCTGGTGACGTTTTTTCTCCCAAAAGGTAGCCAGGTCTTGCTAAATGTGCTTTCATCACCTGACACCCACACAAGCAGTGGAAAGGTCCAGTGTGGCCATTGAAACCATTACAACCAGCCTGGCCTTGCAGCCAGGTTTCCCACTGATAGTCTCCATAGCTGGTTGCAGCAGCAAGTGCTTGGGTGCAATTGTCCCTGCAGTTGAACCATTGTTGTGCTGTGTGTGCTGCTCAATCCTCACCCGGGGGACAAGAAGCCAGCAGTTAATTTATTTTTTCTTTTTCGCATTTCTTTAACAGAAGATTTTTCCAACAAAGAGCTTTTGGAGATGTATCTCTGCCTTCAGTGAATAGCATCTGCTGCTTTGCCACTTCAGCTTTCAGTGAGGTGCTTCTGTGTGGGAGAAATGCTGTGGCAGGGACTTCCTTTGTGCCTTGGCTGCCTGCTGAGGGTTTATAGCCGAGGTGCTGACACTGGGGGTACTGGTTTGGTAATGGGAGGATCTCTGTCTGTGCCAGACCTCGCTCCCGCACTTCTCTGGGCTGGGGCCGGCTGTGTCACGGTGTGAAGGCAACGCTGCCGTGTGCCCCGGGGGCGAGCAGGAGCTGGTAGCACTGTAGGCAGGGTCCCTGCCTAAGCCTTCATGGAGAAGACCTGAGAGAGAGCCCAGGGGGCCCAGAGGGTTTCACTTACGAAGTGCTTTGGCTTAGATTCACTTTCCCTCAGGCTGGGCTGGGCAGCCCCTCATGGGGATGTATTTCTAGTGGTGGGAATCTCTGTATGGAGCGTGTTGAATCCACATCAGGGTTCGCTGTGCTGTGTGCCTGTTTGCTGACACGGGGTTGATGCTCTGTGGTGGTTGCCCAGGCTGAAGCATGGCACCTCTGAGCCTTCCACCAGCAGTAACTGAACCATGGGATGCTCTTACAGCTGGGATCTGGCCACCGAGCCTGCTGCAGGTCCATGTCCAGGGTCCCCCTGGGAAGGTGCTTGCTGAGCATCACCTCTTTTCTCAGCCTTGGGTGTAGTTTCCTTGGGTTGTTCTTCCAGGCACTGTCGTACAGCTCAGTGGGATTGGGCTTCCACTGCTCACGCACCTCTTAACATGGGTATTTGTTTCCCAAGTAGCAGCAGGCACTGTTTCCA